CCCCAATTATCGATCTTTCTACGCCCATGGCCATGCAGACTGAAATATCGAAATTTAATACGTATGCGAGCAGGCTACCCATAGCAAAGACAGATAAGTAGTTTATGTTTGATATTGTATTATATTCTACTTACTGGGGTTTCTTTCGCTTTAAGAGATTTCACTCCAGTTATAAAGTGAGGTCATCGGCGAAGGTAAAGTATTTCAATTTCCGAAAATCAAAAGTAATTCAGGTGTAAAACGTTATATTCTTGACTTGCAACCAATCTCCGCCTGGTACACACCAGACAATGTTCATTGATAAAATCACAAAATAGTTGACATGGTATATCTATTCTGTGATAAAATATTCTTTTGTGCCATGCCACCTGACATGGTGGGTGACATGCAAGTCAAGAATAGAGAAAATGTAAAAATCAGTCCAGTCCAACTGTCCAGTCCAGTCCAACTGTCCAGTCCAGTCCAGTCCAACTGTCCAATCCAGTCCATGTTTTGTACTATGCCCGAATTGTGTCAGGCTCTCTTCAATACCGAGGGCCTGATACTCAGGTTAGTATTAGAATTACGTATGAAATATATAGCTTAGTGTTGAAGCCTGCGACTTGCGGGCTGTGTGCGGGCTAACGACCTAACGTGCGCGTTGAATACGGCAACACAACGACGACGGCAACAAATACAATGAGTCAATGAAAAGAAATAAATAATTAAAGTCCCAGGGGAGTTTCAGACATGGTCGTCGCTCTGTTTACAATGGCAAATCACAGATTTTCACGTCTTTCAATACAACGCCTGCATTTCAAACCGTAACAAGTGTAACTTAAAATTCGGTTCAGTAGAACTCTCCCCAAACATAAAGCCAATGTTTTCAACTTCTTATACTGTATTAAATTCATACGAATTATAATATACGACAATTTTTCTTTACTATCATTTATTTGAAGGAATTTGTTTTGGCCGTCGTCGTCGTATTGCCGTCCTACATGCTTAAGCTCCCTAATAAAGAAACATTTCTGTGTGGTGTCGTATGTAATAGTAGGGGGGGGGGGGGATTGGACAGTCCACCAGGGGCGAAAAAATGCATTTCTAGGGTGTGTTGTGACTCGATATCGTTCACTTTCATTAAGCATGTGTGAAATATTTTTACGGGAACTAACACTTTCAAGCACGCTGAGTTCAAATCTGAAAAGTTCCCGCTCCGTAGACCCGCAGTTTTCCCATACATACAAACTTAATATTTATTCACGCTAGCCTCAACAACATTACATGAGCTGATTTTCATGAGGGGCGTGATTTAGAACTATTTACAGGATAAGACACATTAGCAACAAGTGAATAATAGCACAGTTGTACTGCTTACAGGTTAATATATTTTGATGAGCCAGATTCAACAAATTTTCTGATTCAAAATTGTTTTGAACGAGCTTAACGATTCTAAATTTTTTGCCTCCTGGGGAAGATTGTTCCACAGTGAGGCCCCATTATAGTTAAAGTACCTCTTGCCGAATTCTTTCTTTGGCATAGGAAGTGCTAAATCAGTTTCTCTATTTCTGAGATTGTAAGAATTATCTATTTCGTTGTTTGATCGAAACGATTCTTTTAGATTAGGTGCGGTGTGGCCATTAATTATTTTATACATGAAAATAGCTTTCAAGTAGTCGCGTCTTACTTCTAAGGGTTCCCACCTTAAGTTTTTAAGTAAATCAGCCGATCGAACATCATAGTTTGCCCCAGTAATTACCCTTGCAGCCCGATTTTGATATTTTTGCAGCCTGTTTTTCATTCCAATACCGCAATTATCCCATAACGGACTGCAATAATCAAAGTAAGGCTGCACGATGGCATTATACAACATTTTTAGTGCCGGGAGTGGGACAAATCGCTTAATTTGTCTCATTGCACCAATACCAGCACCAACCTTTGAACATATATTATTATCAATATGTTTCTCCCAGGAAAGTTTTTCGTCCATATTCACGCCTAGGCACGAGTAATAGGTTTCCTAGTTATTTTATTCTTAAGGTTATAGGATGATCCAATAAACATATGTTTAGATTTATTAGAGTGCGTTTCAAGTTTAAGTTCTTTGTATGTTTGCATGGCGATAAAAATATAATAGTTTTGTTTGTGGAAACACCACGTAAATTTATTATTAGCGTTTGAAGTTTGTTTTCAATCATCCATTTATGTATATTTTGAAGATCAAAATTTACTTTATCTACAAGGTCATGACAGTTGTTAGAGGAAGCATATATTTCTGTATCATCAGCATAGAGGGATGAAACTGAGTATAGCTTAATGAATCAGGCTTGTCATTTACGAGGTCATTTATATAAAATAAAAATAATAAAGGACCCCTGAGGAACTCCACATGTAATCGTTTTCGGACGATTCAAACCATATGCATTTTATGATTCAAACCATATGCATTTTAATTGCGTTCCGTTTATATTCTGAAGAAATTATGCATTTTGTCTAACAGTATCTCGTGATTTATGGAATCAAAGGCTTTTCTAACGTCAAGGAAAACTATACGCAATTTAACTAAACATTAACGTCCTTGTGATTTTATAGAGATATATAGATCCTGAATTAAGGATATTAGAAGGAATTATCTGTACCTTCCCAAAGTTGTAGACAAGATATGTTGTTTACGTCCAACACGCATAAGATTGCATAACTCAAAATGATTGGAGCAAAACCGGTCTTTTGTTAAAAGGAAGACTGGTTGATAGAAATTGGTTTTTTTGAGTGACAAAATCGTGGATCGTCATCGATCCGTGTCGCTGAACAATGAAAAACTATGCTGTGAAATTAGTGAAGATAAAATAGCATTTTGTGAGAAAACTGCGGGTCTACGGAGCGGGAACTTTTCGGATTTGAACTCAGGTACTCAGCGTGTTCGAAAGTGTTACTAGTGCGCATTTAGTTCCCTTAAAAATATTTCAGATCTAAGACATGCTTAATATTAATAATGAAAATCGTTTTCTAGGCAGTTTTTGAGGTCACAACACACGGACTAAGTGAAGTACTTGCATGGTCACTAACTTGTTTTGCCTTCCAACATCTCAAATCTATATTGTCTGGAATATGCTATCCACGGGAAATTTATATAATCAAAGGTATTTACAACACAATGTTTAGCATTTTTAAAAAGAATCATTTGAAGATAAAAGACAGGACATAAGATTCACAGAGCAAATTTCAGTTACTAGAATATCAAACCTCTCTTCTAAATTCCATTTTTCTTCCAATGTTTTGCTTATATTTTAGAGTAAGGGGACTCTGACTGGGGGGAGGGGTGCAAAATGGTTGAGTGGGGGGGGGGGCATTATGAGGCTGGGGGCTTTGTCCCCAGTTATATAATTAAAAATAGCCCTGGGTCACTCGGCACTGTAATTCACTTGCACTTTGCTACCGTCTGCCACGCAGGGAATAGTCTGGTTAAGTTGACCAGTTGATCTACCTAACATAGTCTGGTTAATTTAACCGTAGGTCTACCTTTAATATATTAGGCGTAACGTGTGTAACGTGTCAGCTTTCTATAGATTATTATATACTGAAAGGGGTAACGTGTGCGTAACGTGTGCGTAACGTGTTGAAATTGAGTTCTATTATTTTGTATGCATGTATAAGGTCTTCAAAATAATTTTCACGCGGAGGCAATAAATCGTTGAGTTGTCGCATAGTACTTTTATTGAATATGCATGGTAGAAGTGTGTACTTAATACATTCGTCACTATTAAGCATCTAAAACAGTAATTGAAGTCAAAAGGCTCTGCCAATATAAACTGTATAAATAAGGAAAAACATTGTAATATAGAAACACTTAATAAATTTAATACTTCAATTGTTGTCCTCCGTTTCTCACTGATCATTGCAACACGCTTGTTCATCGATATAATAATTCAGTCGATAGTACTTTTTGACAAATTCATCGTCGTGCTTTTAACTCTTTCGGAAAATTGTTCAAACTTTTCTGACGTGATCTGCATGTCAATGGCATCTTGTCCTAATTGTTTTCATACTCAAGCGGGACGCGTTCAATTTATGAACTATTTCCGGTCATTTATGACGTCACGATAACGTCAATGTGACGTCACAATTTTACACACTGTAGGGAAAATCCTTAGGCACACGCCAAACACATAGTAACAGTAAGCAAAGGCTGTTATGCTTCTTATTTACAGCAAAGCGAAATAACCGTATTAGAATTATCATTACTCGAAACTACATAGACAATCGCGTGCAAAAATAATGAGACTCTTCACATTTTGGTGATTTTTTTCACGTGCGTGCCCCCCTCCCCCCACTAACAATGTTGAAAACATATTATTTGATAAGCCCTGACCTCAAAATTGTTTTAACAACATTGCACAAGGGGGAGGGGGGGGGGAAACCATTGTTACAGGAGGGAGAGGGGCAATAAACCGCTTGTCTCAACAATTTTTGCACGCGATTGTAGGGGCCCTGGTTATTTTTAATTGATGATCATGATAAATATTTGATATTTGTACTTTAATTTATAACTTGCATTTTTTTTTTGCAAGTTTGATTTGATTTGATTTTAAAGGAATGCAAGATAGTTAATCAGAAATTTGCTAGATTTTAGCAGATCACGTGACCAGCTCCAACCCGGGTCATTCCTCCGCAAGAGGTAAGAGCGTGGGCACGTGGTTGGCTGCTCCCTGTGTGTGCTAGAATGATTATACTAGAAATATGAACTCAAGTGGAAACTAACGGAAAAAGACGAAACAATTTATTCTTAGAAAAACATACACATTATTAAATTTTTGATTAAAGGCATTAGACGTTGATACACATTTGAAGCAGCCTACATTTTAGCACATATGAGCCACTTTCTAAACTTCACGACAATAATTCATATGGTTTTTATCCTGCTTTAACCAGAGCATTCTTCCTGCGTATGAATCGATCTCTTGGCACTTTAATCTGCTTCAACCAGTAATTTTGGTCACTCATGAGTTGTGTGAACAATTTCAAATTATTTGCAGCTATCGCACGTTGGATTTTTCGTCTGGTTGTTGGCGTGTAATCGCCTCGATACCGTAAATCGACGACCACATCTTTTATTGCGCTGTTCAGTCGGGCCCAGTTTGTTTTTCCGTACGCTCTCTGCACGTCAGGTTTGGTTGCTAGGCGTCTCGCGTCAGCAGCTATCGCATCGTAAGCGATGTAAAATAGTTTCTTTTGTTGATTGTGCGTTATGGTGTAGGTTTGAAGGTTGTTTTTCTGAAATGAAAGCAGAGGTGGCCATGAGGAAAAGACATTGTAATGAAACTATACGCTATAGTTATTTAAAGTAACCGTACACTATACAATATAGAACAGTGCGCTTGCTATAGAACGCTGTAGTTCACACCTCTGGATATAGCCCGCGTGCAGGCCCACTATTCTTCCCTCGGTGGGCCTGAACGCGGGCTACTCCGGATACAGCTGAGCTACCGCCTATGAAACTACAGCATACTGCATTTTTATGTGGCCAAATGCTGAAAAACGGGTGCCGGGCTACAAGGTATGAATTAAGGCATATCAAAAACAGGCGTACTTTATAGCCACAAACCATGGCTATAAGGTATGCCGAAAATTAACATGCAGGCGTACTTTATAGCGACAAGCCATGGTTATCTAATGTATGCCGAAAACAGGCGTACTTTATAGCCACAAATCGTGGATTTATAAGGTATGCTGGAAACAGGCGTACTTTATAGCCACAGACAGACAGACTATGGTTATAATGTATGCCGAAAACAGGCGTACTTTATAGCCACAAATCGTGGCTTTATAAGGTACGCTCAAAACATGCGTATTTTATAGCCACAAATCGTGGCTTTATAAGGTATGCTGAAAACAGGCGTACTTTATAGCCACAGACTATGGTTATAATGTATGCTGAAAACAGGCGTACTTTATAGCCACAAATCGTGGCTTTATAAGGTATGTTGAAACTTTCAAATTTTCGCATTTGGGCAAAAGGATAAATTTATAAAAATAATTTGAATTTTGGTCTCTAAACACGATAAATAATATAGTAATATCCCATTAATCATTATATTGTTGTCAAAAGGCCCGATCACACTACAGAACGATAACGATACGATAACGTGTGAACACGCGCTGATTGGTCAAACAATTTATTGTTATCGTCCGACTGAAAAAAAATTGTTTGTGTGAGCGATTTTAACATCGTTACCGTTATCATTGTTTCTACGACATAAAATAACATCGCTCGGCAGGTGACACTAAGAAGTTCATTTAATCACTCGTTACTATATTTCGTGATAGAAACTGAAAATTTCACCTTTAAGTAATTTTTTGCTGTCCGTCCTTTCAAACCAACTCCTCTCGAGAATTTTTGCGCGGTTCTTGCAGGTATTCCAACGCGCAATAACTGCCTGTATACTCCAGCTTGTTTTCTTTCTTTGAGATCATAACCCCTGCCAATAGTAATACCAGAAGCGGGGCTTGGTACGTGAGGTTTACGACTGAAATAAATACTTCCTGGGATGTCGTTGCCTTCGGAATCAAATGTAACCTGGCCACGGCTGACTTGGAGAGGACCTATAGCGACAGAAGGATAGGGTTGTAATTGGGGTCGTAAGAGCGAGCGCCTTTCACCTGGTTCAATTCTCGCTACGGACTGATGTGAAAAGAGTCTGTCAACGCTCTGCCGAAAGTCGTGGGTTTTCTCCGGGTGCTCCGGTTTCCTCCAACAGGAAAGTTGACAGGGTGGGTTTGGATAAAGACAGTCATAAGGAGTAAAATCACAATAGTTGTAAAGATGAAATAGTCTAGGCTAAGTATGTAATTAGTTAAGCGTAATACTCGATATCTGTCTCGATGTAAAGCGCATTTGATCATATATCCCAGATGTAAATTTGCGTTGCTATAGGACTATTAATCGTAATGGGGTCAAGATCAGACAAGGATGAAAGTTGATGGGAGTTGACAAGCGAGAGTTTGGACTCCGAGAAATTTCATATCCAGTGTCATCCCCGCGTGTTCCTGTCAAACGAGCTTCTTCGTTCCCAGGGCTTCACGGCTGCAACGCAGGCACGAGCAAAACTTCTCATCACCTCTTCAAAATTTGACCCAGCTCAAAATTGATGAGAGTTGACGAGAGTGCATATGAGGGTTGATGGAAACGCGAGCGAGAATTGCAATACTAGATTCCCCTTATTACGTTTTCGTAGCGCTTTGCATTGTGGTTATAGTGGTATCACTGATATTCAAGATGGTTTATTTTTGTCCTGACCCGTGCAATAACTTTTAAATTTAAAAAAAACTAAGGTAAGGTGCGCGATAGCCTACTATACAGCAAAATATTCGCGAAAACATTCAATATTTTCATTCGAGGCCGCTATCTTTATCAGTGATACCACTATAACCACAATGCAAAGCGCTATGAAAACGTAATAAGGGGAATCATCAATTATCATTGACTCTTATCCTTATTTGACCGGCCTGGCCTTAATATTTTCTTTGGCGTAGGGGATATTGGACAGTTCCAGTAAAAAACACTTATTCTTCAAGTAGTTTTAAAAAATCGCACTTGTGTTTGACAAAACGTGTTATTTCCCCCCAATGCTAATATATTTAACTAATATATTTCAATAATTAACGTACATAATGTGAAAGTATATATCTACCTAATCGTGAATTTCGTTGAGCCGGAGGTGTCGGGCGAGGTGTTGGAGCCCTAAAAGAAGAAAACAGTTAGGATTAGTTTGACCTCTGGCCAAAAATTGAAACATCCTTGTCGACAACGGGTGGCCGTGGCGCGGATATTAATAAAAAGACCAAACGCTATCCACAGTAATTACTATTATATTTTTTTTCATACCTTAGGGCAGGCTTAGGAGTATGTTATGCAAAGAAAGTGTTGGCTGAGTAGAATGCGGGCATGCTCACAATTCTTTGTGACTATTTTTTAGATAACATGGCTCTGTAACCGAAATTGCATCGCCATTTGCAGGAAAATTGCCTCTTGTAACATTGTCTTAATTACAAGCAAATTACAAGTTTGATTATTACGTAGTTTGGACACGATATTTTGGGGATCTTTACAACATTTTGTATCTATTTCTACTTCCTACCAGCTTCCGCATGCTTTCGCAATTTCATTTTCGTTCAAGATAATTCTAAAGGTGGCGTCACGCAATTATGATTAATGATTAGCTGTTCCTAATGCTTTCCTAACACTATCATGTGTTTTATTTAAGTTAAAACGTAGTTAGAATACTCGTTAAACCTTTATTTTGTCAATTAATTTCTGTCCCCCGTAACAATGTGTGACTGCCAACTCTCATCCTGGGTTTAATGCTAAACCACAGAGGCTAAATTGAATATTGCCCACTGCAAACCTGGCAAGAAGTGACGAAGTGTAGTGCGTTTGACTTCATAGGACGATACGAACGCCCTTGAACTGTCTGCCAGCGGAACACATTTCAATCATTTAATGTCGTTAAGTTTTAGTTCCACAATTCGTCGAACACGTCGACGAATGCGCGACGCGACAATGTTTACTCGACGTCGGTACGGCGGATAACAGAAATGTTGATTTAACTACTGTTTCCAAACTGAGCGCAATATTGGCGGTATTTCAGTGGAGATTTTCTACAAAATTAAGCCCATGCGATACATACCTCGATCGTCTGCGTCTACGCCGACCCCAAGGTGCCCAGGCTAGTGATACGATGCAGCAGTACAGCAAAACAAGGACGAACAATTGAGAACTAAAAATCTTCATTTTTCAACGCACGGTAACAACTCTGACCACCTCTGTCCTGCGGTAAGGAATAGTTGAGTATCGGGGCAGGGCGCAGTTATTTATACATACTTCCATAGAAACCGTACTTCCTCTTGCCAATGATGTCATTCCGGTTGAATTGTTACAACTCAGCGCTTTGCAACGTTTCCGTTTTTGGCTGTCAACGTTGAATGACGGAACGAAGGCAAAGATCGGTGATAAATTAGCCAATTTATTACGTACGACGACAAAGTAGTAGAGAACAAAGGTCAATGTTATGTAAGGAGAACAATTCAAGCGTTACGAACTGCAGTTCTTTACGATTTTCACGTGTCTTGCATGAATTTAATGCATGTTTTTCATAGAAGGGGCAATATAAGGGAACGGAACAGACTCGTTGAAAAACACGACAAACACTTTCGATACACTCACGTTAATCAGCATTTTCGTGACAATTCGCTGCGATTTTAGGTGCAATTTTCTGCTTCTGATGGATATGAACGAGTGGATAAGTTACGAATGTTCAGATGAGGAGGGTACATGTACTCTGAGCATTCGTAACTCATCTACTCGTTCACGTGAATCAGAAGGATGCATCACGTGCATCAGAAGATGCATCACGTGCATCAGAAGATGCATCTCTGCTCCTCTGGCAGCCATCTTGTGACTCAAGTGCTCGTGCCCAAAGTTGCAAAAAATGTTCAACATTCCTCCGTGTCAAACCTCAAAATAATGTGAACTAATATGGCTTTTTCAATTTGCAAAATATATAAATTATGTCATTAAAAATTGGCTTCTTATTCGTACGGTATTTCCTGCTGAATATTTGTAAAAATTTTTTTTGTGTTCTCAGTATTCTCCAATGTGATAGGCATCTGGTGACTGGTATCGATACTATCAGTCTATCACAATACTGACAATAGTTACCAGTATAATATCAGCTGTCAACTTCAACCTGCCTGGTCAGGCATTAAAACAGCGTGTCCTTGTACACACTTTGTGTCCCTGTAAAAGGCGAATGTGCCCTTGTAAATTGAAAAGTGTGTACTTGAAAATATATTAAACTGAAAATATATTAATGTTATCCGCGCAAAATGGCCGAAGATTTTGCAAATTCTGTTCTCAGAACTCTGGAAATGCCATTTCAGAGACCCCCTTAAAAGATCGCGTCTTCGACACTAAACTTGTGGCTTCGCCACTCGTTCTCGTGAGTCAGAGTCTGCGCATTTATACCAAAAATACACCGCTGAAGGCAAAGTGTGTCCTTGTAAAAATTCCATATTTTAATGCCTGTGCCTGGTCAAGTATTAATTTATTTTTTTCATGGAGTAGAGTGTTCCATTATATTAAATCTTCCTCACTGACCTCACATATGATATGGTAAAAACCTTCCTCACAAGTTGTACCTGTATACCCACAGCTTTTTTACAACTCTATCAGCTCGTGTCTGATCACAGTGAGAAAACTGGAGTACTGGAGAAAAGTAGAAAACGCACGACTTCCGGTAGAGCGATGCTGACTCTTCACATCAAAGCGTCCTAAGTCGTAAGCCCCGCATGCATCTCAATAATGCGCATTAAGCGTAGGCATTTTAACAGAAAAGGCTATTTCTCAGCAGGTACGTACGATGTGATATATAATGATGAAATTAAAGAATAAACAGGATGGCATATACTAATCATTGATACACAAAAAACATGATTTATTTTCTGTTGACGTCATAACAGGAACTTTTGGACTTAATAAATCGCGAAACTTTTCCTGTCCGCGTCGATCAGGATTTTCCGGCTTTTCTCGTTCCTCATTCCTACCGGTGAGCCCAAAGTGTTCATGGAGCCTGGAAAAGTTGCCTGAGACATGACCACAGACATGACCGCATGGACTAACTCTTGACGAAGGGCCTTCGCTCGAAACGTCGAGTTTCTGCTTATTTTTTAAGGTAGTAATATAACCACTCAGCACATTAAACGAGGCTATTTTAGGCGCAATGCAGGCCCAACGTTAACACTTTCTCCTTGACGAATAAAATTGTCTGTTCGGTTTGGATCACAGAGTTTACTGTACTGTGAAGTGCGAACTATTGGCTATCGGCTTAGTTCTCGTACGCATGGGATCCTATTTTTTTATGAAACAATCGTGTTGAAATCGGAGATGTCCGGAACACCATTTGTAATCTCAAACGCAAGATGGTGGAAATTCGCGATGTTGTTTACTTCGTTTGAAAAGAAATCGCGAGCGAAATATAGCTCGTTTTGAGCTAAAATGACGACAAATGGTTCGCTTAAAAACCATTTTGTCCATCATAATGTCCAAAACGGTGAGTTTTACTTGCAGTTCTGCAAATTTCTTGCTTAAAAATTGCGTGTCGCTTGCGATATTGTTGTGCATATTTTCTCGTTATTAATTTCACGTTAAAATGTGGTTGAGTTTTCAACGACTATTTTTATATCTTTTGTATTATTCTAGCTAATCTAACAGGACATGCTGAAAAGGTTGGCATTGAAACCTTTGAACTTTTAAAAGTTTTGGGCACTGGAGGTATTATAATATGATTTAAAATACAGCAAATTTCTTGTTTATGTATATGCGTTCGGTATTCGAAATTTGTGACAAATTTGCAGTATATTTTAATTCCATTTTCTTGTTGATTTTAGCATACGGAAAGGTGTATTTAGTTAAAAAGAAAGATGGCTTTTACAAGGGGAAGCTTTTCGCCATGAAAGTTTTAAAAAAGGCAACAATAGTGCAGAAGGCAAAAACGACGGAACATACAATGACTGAACGTCAGGTTTTAGAAGCAGTTCGAAGTTGCCCATTTCTCGTCACCTTACATTGGGCATTTCAAACAGATTCTAAGCTCCACTTAGTTATGGGTTAGTAACATAAGTCTGTAGCCTATTAGAGTACTCTATCCCTAAATATTCTCGGTGTAAAATATTGTTTTTCTCTCATGTTTATTCGTGGCTGGCGACGGAGCCAAAGTGACAAGTGTTATTGACAAGCTCAAAATCCGTAGTTGTTTACAAGCTCAAAATTTTTTATAAATTTATACCCGCTACTTTCTGTTCTTTTTGAAACAGTTTTTGAAAAAGAGAATTAAGCAGTCTCTGGCAATGTCTATAAAATATATGAGAACATTTTTAATAGATTAGAGAAAACGGCAACACTTTTTAATATGAAAGTGTGAAACAGTTAAGTATTAAAATGGGAATTTTTCTAAGAAGACAAAGTACTTAGAATTAAAATACAAAAATTATTAAAATTTAATAAAATCTATTTTTTATAAAATAATGTACTATTATTATATTTATGTCTAGAATAGTAATCATTCTGTAATATTTTCGTTTAGATTATATTAATGGTGGAGAGCTATTTACCCATTTATATCAACGAGACAAATTTACCGAAGATGAAACAAGAATATATATTGCAGAAATTATCATAGCCATCGAACATCTGCACAAGGTTTGGAAGATTTAATTTGTTTTATATTATGTGTTTTCTACCATTGTATCAACGGAGAATGAAAACTATTAATAAATATTTCTTGTACATTTTAATATATAATAATATGTACTTGGTATTCAAAATGGCATAATTTAACAATTTTACTACTGTTTTATATCGCTTATTTAATTCCTTTTAGTGGTTTATATTATATATTAATTGTTAGGTTATAGTTTTTCACAACTGTTTGTATTTTGAAGAGGAACAGAAATTCATGTGAGTGTCAATTAATTTTAGAACAATTTACTAAAAATAAAACAAGCTTTTGTTTGTTGACTTTTCAAACAGCTGGGAATAATCTACAGAGACATCAAATTGGAAAACATCCTTCTTGACTCGAAAGGACATGTTGTGTTGACAGATTTTGGATTGAGTAAAGATTTTAGCCCTTCTGATGAGGTGAGATGTTAAAAATGTTGCAATATTGGGTTAATTAATTGTTACATTTTAGAAATTTGGAATAATATTTAGGGGATGTTAAGCCCAGATTGCCCTTTAGAAAGCAAGATGCTGGGCTCTAATCCACAAGGGAAGGGGGAGCTAAATAAATCTAACTTACTTAAGACTACTTTGTAATATGTATACCCTACCTTTGAACAAAAGGGGGGGGGGGTTGCAGCTGAGCATAAAAATGTTTACTGGTTAACGTACCATTGTTCATTTAATTTTTCCCTAATGTTTTTGTACATTTCTCCACAATTTAGCTATCATCAAGGGTCACTCAAATATTTTGTTTTTTTCCCTTCCTGTCCAATTCATGTTTTGCCAACTACGAAAACAATTTGCTGACTGGGATTCAATATTTTGCTGACTACCTGTCAACTGAGGTGGTATTTCACCCCCGCCCCCCTTTAGCACTGCCCCTGCCTGAGAGCCAAAACTGCATACATAACTACATGACTCTATTACCAAAACGTGGATGCTTAGTGCTTACTCGTGCACGAGAAAAAAGTGTCATGTTTTTGTGTCCAAACATTCAGGGATGCGACTACATTAAAGCCTATTATTATTAAAATGTGAAACTATTTTTAGCTGGTAGTTTTTTTGGAATGACCCATTGACATGGGTGGCCTCTCTAGTTCTAGGGCCGACACCTGTCCCAATTTAAAAATGATACATAGGGTGCCTCAAAGGCTTTGCTAAGGGCCTGCCACAAGAAAACAATCAGGGGCCAGTTGTTGAAAGCTGGATTAATGCTAACTCTCTGCATGGATAATAAAATAAGTGGATAGGAAACTAGCTGACATGACCTAATGTTTTCAATGGGCTGATGGCGTGGTTGGGATGTCCAAACCTAGTTGCAAACCAAATTCTCAAAAACGGCATGTTTAGCAATAATACAGCTAAGCATTTTAGTTAAAGAGCAAATAAATATAACCACGCCATTCTACGATAAGTATTCCCAGTCAATTTTAGCAAATATTTCAAGCACTAAACAGTGAAAAATACATCGCAAATTTTGTTAAAATTTGTGACGCCAATTTCGTAGCTACAAATGTAAAAAAATACAAAACAAAGACGAAAAACATTTACCTTGAATACTTTGTCATGACTTA